TTTTTCACCCTTGCCCAGCCCTCCCTTCAACCCCTCCATTCCTCCCTATTTACAAAGATTTTGTTCCTATTTTTCCATTTTCTCATATTAAGCCCGTTCCCTTCTATCCTTTCCCTTAGCCCTCCCACTTCCTTCCCCTTTGCCCCTTTTCTTCCTATTTCACATGACCTATTGTACATTTAGTCCTTCAAATAAATTTATTCTTACCAAAGCATTACACCCTTCCTTATCCTTATTGCTGCTCTTTCCTCATCAGGATTTTTACTATAAAACAGTCTTTAGAAAGACTTTTTCTATAGAATATTTCATATTAGTTTCATTTGTCCTTATTCCTAGTATTGTTGCATTGTACTTTAATCAAGATAATAGTAATTTAAGTTGCATATGCTCTCTCTTTTCTTTTTCAACTAAATTATAAACTTGAAGACACAAGCTACACACCCTATTTCTTGTCCCCGTCCACATAATAACAAGGCACTGTGTACACCCGAGGAGTCTGATAGGTCCTCGTCTGCCAGTCTGCTGTATTTTCAGAGATCACTTGTGTACACTTTAGTTATGTCTCTAGCTGTAGTGTCAGCTACTCTCTTGGCTGTCAATGCATCTACATTTAGCAGTATACTATGCTTTTGCTTTTAATTTGCTGCTCTCTAACACTTAGTGTGATTGCAGCAATCAGTCTTCCAAAAACAGCATCTTTGGATAGGCATCCTGAGAACACAGGGTCTGAGACAGTGTAAGTCCTGAGGGAAATAAAGAGTTTGCTGTGGCTACTTTTCTTACTCCTAGATTGGAAGACACCCTCTGGCTACTTCAGATAACCAAATTCTGACTATCACAGAAATGGGTTTGCTAAAAATTTTAATAGCTATACTTAATTATGTATTCTTAAAATAATGATAAGCATATGTTTCCATATAAATGAATAAGAAGGAAAGACTTTTTTCATTTTTTCAAGCTAGGCTTCATGGAATGTACAAACTGTGGGTGATTATGGATTTGGTTTTGCTGGTTTAGAAGCTCAGTTCTTCAGTTCAACTCTGGTCAACCTCAAGTCTTGGAAGATTTATTCACCTAAACCAAACATACAAGAGATTAACCAAGAATGCTAATTTGCTAATTTACACAGATAAAATATCCTGGCCTAGTGAACCAGTAAACTCATGTCAGCTAATTAGGTGTCTCTTCCCAGGAAGAACGTTTACTTAGTAAGGATTAGAGGAGAGTTAAGGCAGATCGATTATTTTAAAGATGTCATCAAGCTGTGATAGCCAGATATATTGCATGATCCAAGTGGGCCTAATTATTGCATTTAGAAACTATCAATGGTGGCCTGATGCCATAAAAGTTCCTTGTTTGTGCAATAGTTCACAAAGAGATATTCCTGGCTTGCCATCTCTCCCAGGTGGCTCAAATCCTGTTTTCTTGCTTCTTGTAGTTCTTACAACCCCTGGGTGTTGGCTGCCCTAGCTGGATCTTTTGTATCTGAGAAGAGGGGAAGTTAATAGACAACCAGCCTAGTAGTTCATCTGTTACTTCTGTCTATGTTTTGTGGCCAGTTCTCAACTGTGTGCTACTGCCTAACTACCATGATGCATGTAGTCTAACTCTGTGCCAGGAGACCAGAGGGGATCGTGGGTAAACAGCTCACTCTCTCTGCACATATGGACCAGACCTCTCAGAGGCCTGAGCGCTTTGTACACTCAGCTGGGCACCTACTTTTCCCGGGCAGTTGGAGACACCCGGGCAGATCTTCACCGTCCAAATCTCCTTTGCAATTATTCTTCCCAAGCCTCACATCACCACTGGCGATAATCCTTCCACATGATTGGCAGGTTCCATTTTTTCAGATTCTTGTTTGTTGCATGTTACATATTTAAACTACATCTTTTTTTCCAGGCAGGAAAAAAAGTACTGAGATTTGAGGGAGACCCTATAATTATTATCTCAGTACTCACCACGTACTGAGATTTGAGGGAGACCCTATAATTATTACTGCCACAGGCACGAATGCTTTCTTGAATACTTTCTTGAAAGTATTACCAGATGGATAACCAATCCATTTACAATAGACCATGTTAGCCTTAGTTTCAGGGTTTGAAGTTTTCTACCTTGACCCCAAATTTGATGGTGTGTCTTACTTGAAAGTTTCAGCTCTTGAAGCATACTCTGTATGTATTAGTCCCAAAGTACCACTCTTGTACCTTCTAACTCTTTTACTGTTAAGTGTGCATAACTCTTTCATATTACACAGAAAAATAATTTGCTTAAAAGAGTAAAATTATACACTGCCTTTAGATCACCAAAGATGTTCCCCTTATGTAGGAATCTCATGTTATTGCAAGTTATTTGTCTAATTAGTAATTATATAATTACTTATATAAAATAGTAACGAGTAATTTTTATATTCTTCCATCTACTTTATTTTTTATATTTTCCAAGTGTTCCATAAAGAACACATATTATTTCTATAATCAGAAAAAAGCTAAAAGGAAACATATACCTAGAACAGGCATCATTATTTCAGTCCTGCTTACTCTTTTTTTTGTACTGGGGATGGAACTCAGGACCTTGTGCTTGTGAGGCAGGCACAGTGCCACTGAGCTAAATCCCTGGCCCTTGTCCTGTTTACTCTTATGTAACTAAACTACTGCAGAGTATTTTCCTGCTGACCACTGTCCTGAAAGTAGTATGAACTTGGAATGTTCTTAACTACTGACTTCCTGGGTCTCAGCTTCCTCATGCATAAAGTGAGAAAAATCACAGTAACTCGAGCCAGGCTCAACTGGGTACATATAATGCATACTAAAATACTGCGGTATTTAGATGGATTGCCAGGAACTTCTCAATGTTATTTATATTTGCTTTGCTATTTATAGAACTGGCAGTGTATCCCCTTTCATAATAATGGGGATAGTTACCATCTGCTGGACACATAAGACAGAACTATGTGACCAACACTTTGCCTATGTTATCTTATTTAATCTTCCCAGCAGCCCCAAGAGGGATTTTTACCCATATTTTCCTCCTGGTGAACTGAGACACAGAAAGGTCAAGTGATTTGGCTGAGGTCACCAGACAGTAAGTCCCAGAGAAAGGATTTTATCCCAGGTCTGTCAGACGCACAAGTTCACGTTCTTCATTCTGTAACATATGCTTTATGCTTAGCAAGAGACACTCCTCCTGATACAAACATCCAAAGGGTAAGGTTGCCAAAAGATTAGCTTCCTTTCAACAACTTGTCCACGGGAGAATGACAAAGAAAGATTAATACCACAGGAGTGAGGTAAGGGTTTATAATTTGTCAAGTCCCTACTCCGAAAGGTCCTGAAGAAACTTACTGTCTTGTTGAAGAGCTTCTTCATATATCACGAAAAGCTACTATGTCCTGGACATCTTCCAGACCTTGCAAACGCCTCCAAAATTTACATCACCTTCCCTCCCTAACTGACCGACCCTCCGCCGCCCTGTAACCATTTCATCTGACCATGCAAGCGCCCTCCCTTGCTTCTGAATGTTGACATCAAGTTGGAAAAGGCCGGTGTGATGGATCTCTTGGAGGCATCACCTTCCTCCTGCTCATCTCCACATCCTTTGCCCTAGACCAGTGGCAGTGAACCTTTTAGAGACGAGTGCCCAAACTGCAACCCCAAACCCATTTATTTATTGCAAGGCGCCAACACTGCAATTAAACCCGATATTGAGGTTTTAGATTAGTAAAAAGAACCCATACATTAACATCTTTTGTCTTAAGAGCAACACACGTGCCATGGGTTCGCCCCCACTGTGCCTAGACTACTACAGTGGCTTCTAGCTTAGTCTTCTTGTCTCTAGAATCTCCTCTAAAACGTCTTTCATATTGCTAGCACAACAAATGCCTCCCATATTCCTAGCAAACAGACTTGAGGATGTTACTTTCTTGCTTTAAAATCTCCTCTTGCTCCCCACCTTTCAGAAGATGGTTTGCTAACATGGCGCATTAGCTTCACGCTGAAGCTTTAGCCTCATTTCCAGCCTCAGCGTGTATTTCCTGGGATCACTGCCTACATCACCACCATATTCAACTATGTGAGATTCTTCACATACACTGTTTCCACGCCATTATTAAGTTGTGTATTGTCTATATCCATAAAGATGATGTGAATTGGGAAGTAGAGGAACAATGCTAATACTAATCATGTCACAGCATAGCTATTTTTAAGTGTGCATGTTTTACCTAAAACATAAGTCTCTGTTCCTTCGAGGCTGGGCTTCTAAAGTCTGCTTCTGGAACTCTGTAAATGTTGAGCTAATTTGGTAAATCCATTGATTAAAAAAACATTGTTATAGTCGTTGAAATGAGGAAGTAGGAGACCTTACAGAGATAAATAAAATGGGAAGAGCAAGTATGGAACAGATTATACCATCAAGAGTGTTGTATTTGGATTCTAATGGTATCGCAGGCTTTCTTGACATTTTAAAGGCATTGCTGATTCTCAGATCTTTATTCTGCTTAGCAGTAGCCATGTCTACCAGCTTTGATGGCTGATGTTAACACAGCATTGTTGTAAATGTTTACATTTTTGTCCCTTCCCCAGGCTGCCCAGTGAATATTCTTTACGTAATTAACCCATTATTGTCAGGAATATATGCATTACTCCCAGAAGGTCTGGACCCTCTGCCTTTAGGCATTGTTTTCCTTTAGTGAAGTATTGGCCAGCACAAAATTATTTCACCCATTTGGCAAGCTTCTGCCAGTAAGAAGTGTAAGTCGCGAAGGATAGGATGCATACTGACATTATTTCTTTTTCAGCTTCCTCCAGTGACATTCTAAAGTTAGGCAACTAAATAAGAATTAGGCTTTGAGGCTTTGGATTCTAATCAAACTTGACTCCATGAGCTAATATTTCTTTTCTTTTCCTTTTTGCCCTCGGGTTCTAATTTTCCCGTGTTTACAGTATATGCAAACATGTTTCTCATTAGTGTTTATCCACTACCGCAGGAATCACTTTGAACTCCCTTGATCCTACTGGAAATGCTTTGCTCAAAATAAACCCAGATCATATTGGGTTTTATCGTGTAAATTATGAAGTACCAACTTGGGGATGGATAGCTTCTGATCTTGACTCAAACCACACGGTAAGAGACAGCAATGGTTATGAATTGTTTTGTTTTTATTCTAGAACAACATTTTAATGATACTAATTGTTGAAACACACTCTGAGAATCATGCTCGTTCCTCTTTTCCCTTCCTCTTTGCAGAACTTTTCTTCTGCTGACCGTGCAAGTCTTATTGACGATGCTTTTGCCTTGGCAAAGTAAGTTTTGGAATAATATTAGATCACTTAAAATAGCATGAGTCTTTACATGATTTTTTGAATAAATCACAACACCATTTATATGTTAATCAACTTAGTCTAAACTGTCAAAACCCAATACTTTAAATATTATTTTTCTTGACCTCTCTTAAATGTGCATATGAGCCTTACATCCAGAGTTCCTGAGACTAGCTCTTACCATTTGAAAGCTCACCTACCCCACTGGCTGTGCGCAGGTTCTGTTCGGTAGCAGAGTCCTGGAGCTAATCAGGAGTGATGTTTGCAAGACCTCAAAGGTGCACTTCATAATTTGATTTAATAGAAGGACGAACAATGTGATTCATTAATTTAGTTTGTTGAGCCTAAGCTCACAGTAAGATTTTAGTGCTAGAATTGTCAGATCTTGCTCCGGTCTTTGGGGCAGGAAGAAGGGCCAAGGTGCTTCAGGACTGACCTGCGTTATGCACACTGAGGAGCTGCCTCTCCTCCATGACCTAAAGGTGGCCTGCACTCGGGCAAGGATCATCAGCATAGGTTGGGGCCGTAGGGCTGGTAACCCTGGCGCCTCTATGTGCGTTTCAGGTCGTCAGCACTAGTAGCAAGTTTGCAGGACTTTGTAGGAGCTGGAGACACAGCATACTGTATTTCTCTGAGTTTGTTGTGGCCTCGTTCTGAACCTGAGCAAGACGCTGAGAGGGAGAGGGAGGCACCTCTTGCTTAGGTGGCCTCCTGTGGCTCCTCGGTGGGGTGGGGGCCTCTTAGCCGCCATCCTGCCCCACAGAGTTACACTGTGACCTGTGACCCTGAGTATCACAAGGCAGACGCCTGAGCCCATGACTGAGGGCTGCTGCACAGGTTGCTCAGTAAGTACCAACATGCTGCTCAGTAAGTGTTAACTAAACAGGTGGCAGCTGGGATGGTGGGGCAGCAGTGCAGGCACGGAAGAGGTATTTCACATGGAGTTCTTGCTGGCACATTGGAAGTCAACAAACCTTTTCGGCATTTTTCAAGCAAGAATTGCAGGGTTTAAAAGTGGGCTTTGGAACCTGATGAAAATCCTGGTTCCATATAAACTCTTTACCTCAATTTCCTTGTGAGTAAAGTAGGAGTGACCTTATAAGACTCTTGTGAGGTATAAATAACAGATATAAAGTTCCTCAAAAATTCTCTGGCTTGTAGAGAATGCTCAATAATAAATAATAATAATTGTATTATTTCTAGCACTCTGGAAGGCTGAGGCAGGATGATTAAAATTCAAGCCCAGCCTGGGCAACTTACCAACTTGGTAAGATGCTCAGTCGATCAGTCAATCATCAATCAGGCGGGACTCACTACGAACGCCATGGATTTCATCCCTAGTACCGGCAAAAGACCATATGTATATATATTTATGCAAATATATATATATATATATTACTTGACAAAATGCACCCATCAGTGATTACTAGTGAAGTTCCTCTGAATTGTCATCTAGATTTCCTTTGTAGATGGCATACACTGTGTGTGCTTTTTAGTGAATCTTCAAATTTAGGCTTCATGTTTAATCCCCCAGATATGTAATAGATCATTTGCTTCACATTTTAGTATCCTATTAGCCCATTTAATAAATATGTTTTAAGCATCTAATATGTACCAGGCACTAGGTTCATCCTGGGAAATTAAGTAGTGAAAGAAGATGAATAATAAATATTTTAAATATAACAAAATCACTTAGAATTTTTTCTGGGAAACTCTCTAGATGCACCAGGCCCATGACCCTTTTCAATCCCAGCTTCTTGGCTGTTAAATTCACTGTGGTTAATTTCTGTCACAATCCAACCCAGGAGGTTTTGCTTTACGATGGGGTGAACACTGTGGACCGCTTTCTCTCTTGGGAACTGGATATAAAGCAAATAACTGACACTATTAAAAGACTGTCATACATTTTTCAGCTCCTTGGCCAGAACCTCATACAATTTTAAGAGTTAGGGAAAGGATGAAAGTGAAACAAGTTTGAAAACCAAACATATGTCGGATCACACCACAGAGCTGGAGACTCCTGAGTTCTTACCTGGCCCCATTTCCTCCTCTAACGCATGAGGAAAACGGGATTCAGAGAGGAGCAGATGCCAGCAGGGCTGGGAGGGCTCTGCCTGGCTGCTACAAAACTGGTGGGGGGAAAGGCAGGAATGTGTGTGAAATAGACCAGTGCCTGTGGGGGATAGAACGCACATGGGTCTACTGAGGTGTTCAAACAGAAATGTATTGACTATGTTTCATAATATGCCTAAATGCCTGCATCTGAAAATAGAGGCATTCTTTATGCTCTTCAAACTCAGTCTGAGGAGCTCTCTTACTGCACTGGTGAAATATCTAGCTGGGCACATGACTTGGTCAGGAGAAGGAATAAAAATGCACCCCATCACTTCTGGTCCCCACTCCATCTCTGTTCATAGCATACCCAGTCTAGTAAAATCAGAGACGATTTCAAAGCAAGCAAAGCTCCTGTCTGTCCCAAACCCAGCCCAGCCACCTGCAGTGGGATGGGGGCTTGATTTTCTCTTCTTTTCCCTCTTTGGAATCCCCCCTTCATCCCACCTACCATGCTGCCTCTGGTTCTTTCAAAATAATGCAAGAAGGGCAAGGAGGGAGAGTAGGAAAAGCAAAGGAAGTCCTGGCATACTGTCTGCTTGGTCTACCTGTGGGCTCCTCTGAACTCTGCATGTGTTTTGTGCTGGCTCTTCTCTTCATGGGATCTTTGCCACCCATACTCATCCCATCACTAAGAATCTTTTCCATACGCTTCCTTTGAGGGAGACAAGGCCCCTCTGCTCTATAGGAAGTATTTATGCATCCTCTGCCCAACAGTGTCTGGAGGCAGGGCCACCCCACACAGTGCCATCTCCTCACCCTGAGGTCGGAGCTCAGGCCAAACAGTCTCTGCTCCTTAGACTTCTCAGAGTATTAGACACCAGGCCGCAGCAGCTTCAGGCTCTAGGATCACATAACAACCTCGCTGAGTGACCCCACTGAACCCTCTGCCCAGGCTCGGCATGAGGGCGCGTCCTGCAGCCCAGCCCCTTGGGGGCCTCACGCTCTCTGGGGCCTCCACAAGCCATTGTGCAGTGTCTCACTCTCCCCTCTTCCGTTAGATGTTGGTGGCTTATCAGCTGAGGGTCACAAAGCTCTGTCCTTGACCATGCTAGTCCTGCAGCCAGGTTCCTGCATCTTAGTTTGGAGCAAGGGTCTTGGTCTTGGGGCCTTACTCAAACTGAAACAGAATCCTTTCTCCCCACCTGTTATGGCAGTTTTGTTTTGTTTTTCTTTCCAATGGCTTATATTGTGCGCACAGACTACTCTTTGCTATAGTCAGGAAAAGGAAGGGTAACAATATAAGGGAAAGCCTGTGAGTGAGGACAGGGGCCCCTAGGTGAGGTGAAAATGATGGAGAAGATGACAGAGAAGACCACCTACGCTAAAGATTCGAGCAGAACGGACATCCAAGAGGACCATACTAGCAAATAAAGACCACTAGGTGAGTGAATGTCAGCTGCCAAGCAAGAGTCTGGACCTCTGTCCCAGAATAAATTTGCATAGGCATGTAGAGAGGCAGGGACAGAACTCCGCAGACCTGCATAGGTAGCTCTTGACACCCTCCATGGACTATCCTTAAAAAGAAAGGAGGAGGAAAACAGGAAATGAACCCAAGAAGATTTAGCTGATTGCAAAGAAACTGTTTTCATCCAGAAATCTGAATTTAGTTGGCAAGTTCATCAGCTGGGAACCTGCAGTGTCCTCCACACCATGGAAGCCTTACAGGAGAAGTGATGACCAGGGGTCACGTCTACACACTACACACCTCTCACAACCACTTGCGCTGTCCTACTAAATGGCCATGTCTGACAAGATATTTTTAGCTCAGGCTCCTCTAAGGAGGACTGTGCAGTCTTTCCAAATCATTCCCCCAAATACAATACAAATCTGCTGCGAGAGGCCCCTGACCTTCCTAAGGGCCTTAGCTCAAGATAGGAAAGCAAGAAAGCTCTTTGTGTCATCTCCATTACATCTGCTGAGAACTCTGTCACACCTCCCATCCTCTCTGTGCCGTGGATTGGAGTCCAGCTCCGTGAATAAGTGCCACAGCCTTGGGTCTCAGCATCTAAGTACAACAGGTTTGAATTAAGAAAGGTGTCAAGCAAGTCTGGCCTTCAGAACTACCATTTGTGTACAGACTTAACAAAAGGACTTTGAGACCGAACGTTGAGTCAGAATGCTGTGTTGAATTGAGTGCCCCAGAAGCAGAGGCAGAAATGGAGGCTCTTCAGGTGGTTTTTGAAGTGCATTCTCTTGTGATCTAGGGAGCAGGAGAAGCAGGCTAGGCCAGGGAAAATGTGATCTCATCTGAAGTCCAGCTTTGCCACATCCCACTAGGAAGTCACAGATTGGACCAGAGCGTAGGTGAGCTGGCTTGTTGGCCTCTGTATTTCTAAATCGGGGTGTTAGTAAGCAGGGTGGTGTTGGGTAACCTCCCGGGTGAGGTGGATGTACTTGGCCCAGGGCTCCTCTTTGGAGAAGGGGCAGACCTGAGAGACTGACGCTGAGGGAATCTGGGGCAGGCACTGCGGATGTCTTTGTTCCTCCAACAGTATCTGCCTTGGAACTGGTGAGAAACGCATAGTACTGGGCCCTGCTGGGAAACTGAGTCAGAAGGGCTGGGATAGGTGTATTTAACCAGCCCTCCAGATGTCGCTGGTGTGTCCTCCAATGTGAGGATTCTGGTTCTCACCGACACTGCTCTTCTGATGTGCCACTAATCCAAGCACTGCAGAGGAGAGGAAAAGTACACCAGCTTCGCTCCCAGAATATTCTCCCCACGCTATCAACCAGCGGCAATGCACCTCCGCCGCAGGGTCCTGACCCTGGGCCTCACTGACTGGTACTAAAGTGGAACAACTGTGTAGCCGCCAAGTAAACTGGCAAAAATAAGGCTCTGGAATAGGACGCTGATTTCTCAAGCATTCCAATATGCAGTACTTGGCCCAGGCCTTTGGCTGTTGGGTTTCTTCCTTCCTTCTGCTTGTGCTACCCCTGTGGCCAATTCTTTCGGCTCTTGTGACCAAGGCTCATTGCTTTGAGTGTTCTCATGTTCACGAAATGTGCAGCCAGCCCACGTGGCTTCCAACCACAGCATCTATTGTTCTTCCTAGAGTTTCATTAACCTTTTCATTAACCTGATACTCAGTTACAAATGTTCTTTATACATTTCCTAAGCGAACACTGATTGGGCATAGATGTTGCTCTCTCATCCTAGGAAAGTAGAGAATTGTTGAAGTTAGAAAATTGTCCATTAAGTTATAAATCGCAACAAAAAAATGCTACAATACTTTACTTAACAAACATTTTCAATAAAATATTTCATTTCTTGAAATTATTTATACTTGCATTAAGGGAAACTAAATAAGTGCTCCAGAAGGAAAATCCTCCCAAATGAGTGAAGAAACTGAGAAAATATGAAGATAAATCAATTTTCTGAACTGAAAACAAATTCTGTGTCATATTTCTTCAGTACAAATCATATGATGTCAAAGGTTTTTACTCCTGTCTGTTTGTCCAGTACTAGTTCATGCTCTAAGCAAACTCCTGGGTAAAAAAGCAAGATGAAATTGCGTTATTTTTCACTTTAAAATGACCTAAAACATAATAGTACCCAGTGTATGAATATTCCTATATTCAATAATTTTAAAAATCAACCTTTAAACTTTCAAAGTGTACTTTAGAAAGCCAGGATTTCCATCTGACATTCTTCCCAAAAGCTAGGCTAAAGTTGGAAGTATAACAGGTTCCTGAAAACATATTTCTGCATGCTTCCAAACTTCCTTTAGAGGGAGGAGAAGTTTGATTCTTTAAATGTTTAAATATCAATATTACCTTCAAATTTTCTGAAAGAGAAAAAATCCATTTTGATTTATGAAAATTACTGTAAACTGTAAGAAAGGGGATCATACAAAGGAAAGCATGAGCTCAATTTTAATATTTTAGCATTTGATTAATGAGACTATTGATATTTCCTCTCATATGCAAATATAAATGATTTCAGCAAAATACATTTATAATAGTGCTTCTGTATTTTATAATCAGCTTGTGAACTTAACATTTAAAAGCTTCTATCCATCAATATTAACCACACAGTAAAATGACTTTTATTTCATGTGAATTTTTGCCACCGTGATTTTTTAAATGTACATCTTTGTGTTGTTTTCCTCATTTCTAGTGAATGTATGAACATATCACTTCACACTGCACTAATAAATCATTTTGAAGAAAACCTTTTGATTTGGCTTCAACAATAAGTGCAATTTCTTAATTGTTTAATAGAAGAATTCTCATTAACATGGAATGTTAATTCCTAACATGGAATCCAAGGATCCCCGGTCCAGAGGAAACTAACCTCTATGGTTTTTAATTAATTGTGTCCTTTTTTCTTTCTTAGAGCTCAGCTTCTAAATTATAGTGAGGCTCTGAACTTGACCAAGTATCTCAACTGGGAACGGGATTATTTACCATGGCAGAGAGCCATCTCAGCCGTGACCTACATCATCAGCATGTTTGAAGACGATAAGGAGCTGTACCCACTGATTGAGGTGATGTTTAATGCTGCGGTGTAGCATGAAAGGAAGCGTTTACCCACTGGCAGAATAGAACATTTCTGAGAGAAAGGGCTCTGGGGGTCCCAGCCATTTCTCATGGGACTGATCAATGATGGGCTGTCTGCTCTTTCAACTTGAAGTGTGTCAGTGTTTGGGGTTCAGTATACTATATAAATGTATACATTTTAGTATCAGAAGGAATACAGCGGTTAATATTTTATTGAAAATTTAAAGCATTTGGGATCAGGGATGTAGCTCAGTGGTGTCACGTCCGCCTGGCAAGCACGAGGTCCTGAGTTCGATCTTAGTACCCTCCCCCCGCCAAAAAAAATGAAAGAAGATTTAAAGGACTTTAAAACCATAAATACTAACTTGGTCCTATTTTAACTTGTCTCTTAAAATGAATTTACTTTTATCAAAATATAACATTATATTTCCTCATTGTTACTGCTATTATTTCCACCTTGGGATTTTATGTACAAGATAGTCTTTCTAAATACTTTTGGGTTTTTTGCTGATTTCTACAGTGCTTTTGCAGGACATTTGTAATTTTTTTAAAAAAATCTGGATTCAAGGGTCACGGATTTAGCTCAATGATTCTGGAACCTGCCTTGCAAGCGCAAGGTCCCAAGTTCGAACTATGGTACCAAAAAAAAAAAAAAAAATCTGGATTCAATTCCCTAACTTTCTGGAATTTACTAAATGAAAGACCTTGGGACAGTGATTTTGTACTTGTGGATGTTATTTCCTTTGTACAGTAAGGACACTAGTGCTTGCCTTCCTAGGACAATGGGATAACAAGAATCAGATGATGTAAAAGTATTTTGTAAATTGTGAATATCAATTATGTCTGTTATTTCATCAGTACTTGAACAATCTTCTTATTGCCAGAAATGTGTTGGGTGTTTTCCTCCTTGTTACACATGTTAACTAAGAAATGTAAGGTAATTAAAGGGCTGACCCCAAGTATTGTCAAACATTAGAGAAAGATCCAGGTGCCTCTTACCTTCAGGACTGAAGCAAAATTGCAATGTGATAAAAGCTAAATACACTGCTTTCTAAGTCAGGCTCAGAGTTCTCTGAGAGAGGAGGAAAGAAAGAACCCACGGGGGGCTTCAGATTATGAAGACTGTTCACAGATGGTAAATTATGTCTCATGGTACCTGGTGCTTTTATTTCAGGAATACTTCCAAAGCCAAGTGAAGCCCATTGCAGATTCTCTGGGATGGAAAGATACTGGTGACCACCTCACAAAGTTATTTTTCATCTTTTTAAAGCTAACATTCATTTAACATTTGTTGGTGTGTTTTAAGACATGAAGAAAAGTGCTTACAGCTCTGGCTTTGTGCTTGTCTGCTTTTTAAAGGTTACTCAGAGCCTCTGTGTTAGGCTTTGCCTGCAAGATGGGTGATACAGAAGCTTTGAACAATGCTTCCCAGCTATTTGAACTGTGGCTAACTGGGACTGTAAGGTGACTGCTCACTTTGTATCCTTAAAACCAGACTTAAAACTGAGAAATAAATAAATAAGTCTCTGAAACATTGTGTCTTCTTCCAGTATTCCTGTAAATCTCAGGCTTCTGGTTTACCGGTATGGGATGCAGAACTCTGGCAATGAGGCTTCATGGAACTATACTCTAGAACAGTACCAGAGTACTTCGCTAGCTCAAGAAAAAGAAAAACTGCTGTATGGATTAGCATCAGTGAAGAGTGTTCCTCTTTTGGCAAGGTAAATTAGTGGGGTTTTGTTGGCTTGCTTTTGGTTTTGTGGTCCTGGGGATTGAACCCAGGGCCTTAAACATGCTAGCCAAGTACTTAACCACTTGGATGCACTCCTAGCCCAAGGTGGCTTTTATCTCACTGATACGAATTGTATTTAATAGTTTATATGTTACAATCTCTTTAAGAGTTTGATTAATAAATTGTGATGTCATTTCCAAATTAACCATTAAGAATAATTTTTCCTGTAAGAAACAAAATATTTGTATAAGATTGGCCTAAAGAATAAAGACATTTTTTTAAAAAAATAAAGAAACGTAATCTCATATGAAAATATTCTGGAGGTAGGTAGTTTCCAATTATGTGCAATGGATCAACATTTTCATCCAGGACCTGGGCTATTTCTCTTTCCATTCTTCCATGCTCTGTGTAGTGGATGTTTTCTCACTTCAAGCATGTTGCCTTCACCCAAAGATGTCAAGTGAAGAAAGAACAGGAGTAAAAGGTTTGTTCTCTCAGGTTCTGTCTTTTACGCCAAGAGGACAGTCATCTTCTCTGCTCTGCACAATCTACAGCAGAGCCATACTTGACCATTCTGGGTCAAAGTCCAGGTCTACCATTTGAGCCTTTGCTAACTAAGATAAACTTGAATTCTTTTGACTGGTTTGGGTCATTATGACTCTCTAGGGCTATGGTAGGAGCTTACCTTCCTTAGGACCAGGGATAGCTAGCGACCCCAGAAGAAAGCTGAACTCTGTCAGCAAAGAGGAGTATCTGTGCCAGTGCACACGCACACACACACACATTCTACAGAGACCACTTGATACCCACCTAGGAATCTTTGCCCACTCCACACCTATGCCCCAAATTAACTCGCTTCAGTGACTGAATTGTTTACTTCATTTAACCAACACTTATGATGCTCCTTCTATGTATAGGAATAAGATGGATAGCTAGCTAGCTAGATAGATGAGAAAAAATTATTACAACCTGATACCTGTCCTTGAGAAACTTATAACTTTCTGATAGGCAGAATGTAAATATTATATTACAATATCAGTGCTTGCTTTGGCAGCAAGTAGACTAAATTGCAATACCAATTTGAAACTACCAGAAGTAGTTTGCTTTTACCAAGCAGGTCAGCAATACACCTTCCCACTTTAACTCAGCGCTGTGTCCATTCCACTTGCTCTCACAAAATAGTCCATCAAAAGCATTATAATCTTAACATCACAGGATATTTTGTTAATATGCACAATTTTGTTTTTATCTCAGTTAAAAATTAATTTAGATAAAAAAGAATTGGATCATCTTCAGACCCATCAAAATATTACCCTGATCATTAGTTTACAGCACTGCACTAATTATATCTGATAAGGAAATTAGAAAGTACTCCTGATTCGTTAGTAAGGATCCTTGCAAACTAGAGTACTGGGGATAGGTTGCACAAAAATGCAGAAGCCCACACCTTCAGTGCAGTTTCTGGGAGCTCTGAAATACTCCCTCCAAGACGAAAGGCAAATTATTGCACCTTGCATTAACTACCACAAAAAATTTATTTTCGTGGGTGTAGTAAGCTTTTCTAAAAATGTGAGACAATATATCCACATTTGAGAGTGTTATCCCAACCATTTACACAACTTTCAAATTTGAATCATGGCCAGAGCAAAGGAAAGCTCTGCAGTAAGAGCTTCCCTAGAATTCCTCTTTTATCCAAAACATGTACTAAGTGTGCCGAATGTCTTGTCAGTGTAAGGCTACTTGCTCCAATGCCGGTACAGACCAGGAAGTACTGTTACTTCCTGTCTTGTTCTCAAGGGTCCCCAAGAGTCTTGAGCTATAAGATGGGGAACAACTGACACAATCTTTGTCTTGGACTCTTTAAATTTAAGCACTCTCAGTTTTTAAATTAGTTGTTAAATTATAAATCTAGTTTAAATAGTCTCTTGGGGTAAATGTCCAGTCTTCTAGAGTCCCTTTCCTTCCCTAAGATGCTCCTGTACAGGGAGACATAAGTCACCTTGTAGTGATGGAGAAAGAAACTGTGGTCCTTACTGGCATTGCACTCAGTACTTAACTACGTTGATCCTGGACCAGATTCCACTGGGTCGTTATTGGTCATATTTTACCTGCTGGAACTCTGTCTGGCACAGATGAAAGTTGTGGTCCTGGTCATTTTCTCTTGCTCATGGAGTACCTCTGCTGTGGAGCATTGTTGTCTTCCCAGAAGCCTTTTCAGCACCCTGCACATCTATCATCAGACTGAACGACATCTCGGTCCCCCAAGGAACCAGGAGTCTCACCTGACACCCATTCACATCTTCATCTCACTTGCCCAGGATGTACTGTCCATCTCCCATACCGTGATGGATGCAGCACAAGAGTGGACGCTGAATGGAGGACTTTCCTCTCAGGCCCAGGCGGAGTGGTGTTTCCGGTTCCCATGTAGCGTACACTAACCTTCAAGCTTGAGCTTTCCCAGGCTTTCTTGGGATAAATTTCTGTGGCCAAGTATGCTGACCTGGCTCTTGATGTCTTAATAAAACAAAAGAAATGTGGAGATATCTTTTGTCTTTGATGAAGGCTGCCTCTCAGAACTACCTCACAATGCAAGTTGCACAGTGGTCCTTTTGTTGAAATGATCATCTCTCACCCTCTAAGGGTGTGAAGGGTCCAAGCCAGTGGGTGGGAAGGGACAGAGCAACAAGGCCAGAATGAGGAAGTATATCTGATTTATCAGCAGCAGATATCTCTCTTGGCGCACCCTTCCCCTACCAAATAAATTACGTACCAATGTTATTTGGGAATATTTTTCTAAGGACATTATGCACTTCTGTAGGGTCTTAGGTTATAAATGCAACTCTAGTTACAACCCAGGGCACAAATTTAATAGAATCTATTTAGTCATTTAAATTATCTTGGATCTATTTGCATTATGCTACAGGCATAGCCAACTAGTTTAACCATGTAGATTATATTAGGATTTTTATAATATAGGGAAGAGCAAAGAAAGTTTGTTATCCTATAGCAAATAAGAGTACAACTGTTTTTTCTTAATTTTCAACTGCTTTTTCAAAAAATTCAGTGGGATAATAGATAAGTGGATAAAGTACTTCTATTTAATAAACGTTATTTTAACAAATCAACCATTAAAATTCAGTATTTTAAAATTGTTTTAGTATTTCAGAAATAATTCCATTTTTAATGTTTCTGTAGTTTATACTTTACTAGTCCTCAAAAGCATAGGTTATTTTTTAGAGACAGTTATATATATTACAAACTTTTAAGTCATCTTTCATCATTTGTCACAGTTAATTCACTTTGTCATTTTATGCCTGAAGAATTAGATTGTTGGAATGAAAGCTATGTTGGACTGGAATTTAGCTAATGGTGAACATTAAAAGTTAATTTTGAGTTGTTTTCGTTTGCCTCCTCTTAGGTATTTGGATTTGCTCAAGGACCCAAACCTTATTAAAAGTCAGGATGTGTTTACAGTCATCCGATACATCTCATACAACAGCTATGGGAAGAGCATGGCCTGGAACTGGATACAGCTCAACTGGGACTATCTTGTCAACAGGTGGGAGAGCAGTAATGGCCTATTGTCTTCGCTGTCTGACATCATCTTCGAGCGCCTTCCTTTTCTCCTTGGTGTGCTTTCTCTGGCATCTATACAGTATCTGAAATGGGATATTATCAGAGGTAAAGGATCATGATATTTTCTTGCCAGGGAAACAAGTGCTAGCTAATTTTAGGCACAGTTTTTCTAGAAATGATTATTTTCAATTGAACTAAAGGACTCTGAAATCCAGAGAGATAACTAAATTGCTTTTTTGTGGGGATGGAGGGTTGATTAAAACAAGTGAGTATTATTCTGCCTACCGTGGTAGTACCTAGCACAATGCCACGCACATATTTAGTTGTCAATGAATGTCTGATGAAAAGTCAATAAGAATTGCTGGACTTGGGCTCAAATTGGAGCCCTGTACCTTACTGAGCTTATATGGGTGGTAAGGCTTACCTTTCCTGATCAGATACTTCAACTGTTAACCTGCTCTGAACAGTTCTCGAAAGGGAACTAACTGTATTTCCTAAGCAATAGCAGCACCGGGTGGGGGTGTTTTGTTTTTGGTTTTGGGGTTTTTTTGTGTGCTACTTATTGAATCTGAGATCCTGCTCTTGCAAAGCACACACTTTACCACCAACCTACATCCTGTGCCTGGCATTTAGAGTTTTAAAATGGAAAATGAGATAAAAGAAGAGAAAAAAAATCAATGAAAAAGATGCTTTTCCAAATTTCTTATTTCTTTGGCCCCACGCAGAAGAAATATTGCTATTTTGGGTTCTAGTCTAAATGTAATGTTTAATTTCCATTAAAAAGACATTTCTTTGACAGAGTAAAAAATAAAGAATAGAATAAATACCTGTCCCAAATAAATGTGTAAACAATCCTCACATTAGGAAACAGTTTCTGTTATCTTTCCTAATCTCCCGTCCCTACTGAAGCTTGGCCTCGCTGATACCAGCTGCCTTGCGGGAAGTGCTAACCACAGCAGTAACTTTCATATCTTCTCTCTACTCTGTCCTACACTTCACCATTGCCTCTGTGTCTATATTTTGTTTCCTTCTGAGATCCACATTATATCTCTGTCTCTCAACCAAGATATTCTACACTGTTTTTGCCTGCTTGTGATAGATATTTCTCTTTCTGTTCTTGTGACTAGCAAGTGAAACTATTTATTCATTACATTGGACAGTACACCACATACACTTGTATTGTTACTTTGTTTCTAATTATTTCCATAGAATACTTGGTTTAGAATGAACAAATCTACCTATTAAGAACTTGTTATGGGGGTGCAACTGTTCATATCATATAAGGTAACATCCTCTATTTTGAAATATTTATGCCTAAAAAAATGAAATATATATGCCTAATGACATGCACTATATGTTTTGTGTTTATTAAATAGAGTATTTTTAAGGCCTATTTGAATAGAATTGGTGTGACTTATTTAAACTAATATAATTTTCACTTGTAAAAATGAATTCTTTATTATACCTTAAAAATTAAAAAGTCAAAAAATAGATTGTACCTTTTCTCAGAGGCCATAAATATCTGTCCTTAAAATAAATAAATTACCCCTAGTAAACTGAAGATTTTTCAAGGAAAATAAATTGATAAACCATTTCCAGAACTAGTTCCAAAAGTCTTGCCCCAGGCTTTTAGTATTTCTTCATAGTGTAGTGACTTAACTTTCATAAATTATTATTTCGCATGGCCCCAAACATAAAATTATATAATAACCACATGTCTGACAGTTACACGAAAAAGTGATATTGGGTTTTGTTTCAATAAATAGAATTTTCCCTATGAAAAATTGTATAAGACAAATTAAACTGAAATGAGCAAATCTTTATTCAAATATTTCCAAACTCTTGAAGGTTTTCCAAATTACAGGATGCATAGTCTTCCTGCTTCTACTTCTGAACAGTTTTTGCCACCCTAACTAAACAAGCTGCCTTTTAGTAAAACTTTTGTCATATGGATTTTTATGACAACTGATCACCACCCCATTAATGTTTTGCCAATTCAAGCCTTAACCACAGATTCCCAAAGACACTTAGAAATCATTCTCTACTTTTGTTTCTTCTACTAAACTTATAGGTGAATTTATGAAATTGAATGAACCCAGTAAGTCAGTAGTGTTGTGTATTAAGATTGATTTTGGTTTATGACTACTGATGAAAAATCAAAGCAATAATTTTGATTTAATGAATATGACTGAAACAATTTAAACACTAGCTCATAAAATAATAAGCATTTAACTAAAAGTTTTATGCATAGCCAAATAATTTGTTTTGCATAACATACTAATATATGACTATTAAGTCCAAGAAGATAATTTTATATAATTTTTTCAAACCATTTAAGATAATTACATCATTATTTTAGTTTTTAAAATAACCAGTATAATAAATACATAGCACATTCCCCTTTATTTTCTACACTTGATATATTTGTGCCTTGGGATGAACATATTTTGTTCTATCATTTATACTATTTATACAGGTAGTTGCTGTTTTTCTGCAATCCATTCATTGCTAGTTCCCAAGCAGGTCATTTAATTTTTGTCACTAACAACAAAGCAGAGAGAAATATTTTTAAAATTTTTATTAGAGCCTGTTTGCAGTACATTATTACATTCATTGAGGGGAATTGGTACATGTACATAACCCATCTCAATTCTTTTTTTTAGCTGAAAAAAATAGTATAGAAATTACAGGTCATTAAAAATTGTATTACATCTTATTGCAGCAACTCAGTGTATTTTCCCTTTTAAAATTTGTATATTCTTATGTTAAACTATGTCATTTTTTGTACAAAACACAGATAAGTAATAATAACAATAATTACCTACAGTGCAATCGCCTAGAAATAACTTCTCTTTTCACTGTTTTCTCTCAAGTCATTTTTCTATGGGCGTTAATTTATTGTACAGAAATAGAAATATGCATATAATTTGCCTTTTATCACACATAATTTGGATCACACTGTATATTGTGGATATCTTTTCAAGTTTTTATGTTTCTTGTTTCTTTTTATTATAATTATTAGCACTTATTAATTGAACAGTACAATGAGTTCCTTCATAATGTTTTCATACATGAAAAAATATCCTTTGATCTATGGACCCTCCTTTCTATTCCCCCTTACACTCTTTCCCGTTTCCCTCCCTTCCTAATAGTCCCCCTTCTGGATCTATGTGACCTTCTTTTCTAGATTGAAATAACCTTCTGCAGTGTTGTTGTCCTGGCCGAGTAGTATTTCAGTGTGTAGATAAGGCTCAGTTTGCATAGCCAGTCTCCATCTACTGACAATGGAATTGTTCCTCCACTGCTATCAGTAATGCATTGATGAGCAACACCTTTGAAACTGAGTCTCTTTGTTCTTTTGAATGTCCCTGACAATATCTTCAGGATATAAAGAACACTGGAAGTAATACCATGGGCTTAAAGAAAGTGTTCATTTTGGGGTTTCTGATAGATGGACAAAAATTACCCAGAAAAAGTTTACTAGTAACTGCTTATTTTCCCAACCCTCTCTATTACTCAGCATTGTCATTTTTAAATCATCTTGCTAGCTGAACAGATAAAAACGAGTATGTCATTTTAAGTCTTTCCCTCAGCAAACTATGTGGAGCATTTACGATGTGCTGCATGACAATGGCACTGGGGCTGCTGGAATAAGGGGGTTACCAGTAAAACCTGTATACTTAAAACTACTGCAACTGCCAACAGAAGAGGTTGGGGTGCACTGAGCTGATGTGAAGGGAAAGAGGTGGGGTGCCCTTCCGGAGCGGGGCTGGGTAAGCTGAAGGTCGAGCAGGAGTGAATTCGGTGTGCAAGAAATGAAGCATTCCTAGGTGGAGATCTGTCAGGAAAGGGAAGAGAGCGGGAAGGCTAAGTGTTGCAGAGTCATGTTAAAATCTGGGCTTTGTTCTAAGAGCAATAAGTCATGAATGGCTTTTACGTACAAAGGTGAAATAATTGATTTTAGTTTTAAAAGAAAACTGGTGGAAGGGGGCCAGAAAGGAGCTGGGAAGAGCAGTTAGCTATTGCCACGGTCCCAGCAAAAGGCAGAGGTTGACTGGCCTGTGCCTGTAAAGGTGAAGGCAAAGAGATGATGGGAACGTTTAGGGTTGGGTGGCCAATGAGGCCCGAGGGCCAGGACACTGCCGAGGGCATGGCTTTCAGGAAGCTCCCGGGGCCAGTGTCCTGCTCTGATGTCTGTTTCTCTTCTGAGGGTGAAAGTAGAGACGATCTCAAGGAGGGTATAGTCCTTTGTTGATTTGAGTAAACTGAAGACCAAAAAGGTCACTGGATTTACTGACCTAAAAGCCTTGAAAGAATTTTCAGTGGAGTAGTGGATGCAGAGCCAGCTGAGCAAAGTCAATGCATGACCAGTGAGGAACGGTCTCGGAAAGTTTGACTATGAATTGCAGCGAGGGAAAGATCTTAGGAAAGATGCTAGGTAAAGGAAGGTTTTCTTCTTTTTTATATGAGAAATATTTTAATATACTGAATGTACTTAAATGCTGATGAGAAAGATCCGATGGAAAATGAGATATTTCATATGTGAAACAGGAAAACACTTTTTTAAATAAGATGTTTAAGAAAGGGGGAATAAACAGCAACCAAAGTGCAGGGGAAAGAAGGAAGACAGCTGTATTTGTATACTTGTAAACTAAAAGATACAGGTGTTATTGTGCATTTTCTATAAGAAGTAGAAGGCGCTGGGATTTAGCTCAGTGGTTCTGCCTCCTGCCTCGAATGTGCAAGGACCTGAGTTCAATCCCTGGTACCAAAAAAAAAAAAAAAAAAGGCAAGGACATCTTGAGGTTGGGGGAGCAAGAGGCAAAGTGAAGATGGAAAAGGAATGGAAACTTTTTTAATTCAAAAGAAGCAAAGTAACTGGCCAAGGTAATGCAAGAGGATCATCAGTGTGAGGATCCGTTTGAGATGTAAATCCATGCATTTATAGTGAAACAGTGCGGGAAAGCTCAGCAACTTCCCTGACAGAATCTGACCACCAGATACAAACTCAGAGAAGAGGAACTTTATTTCATCCAAAATTGGGGTTTTGCTAGGCATAAATTATTAAAATGCCAGGAGGCTGAGGGTTAGGGCGAACGTGTAATGAAAATGGTTCGATCATGGTATCCAAACTACATAGAGAAAGAAATGAGAAAAGGAAAGGCTGATGTCTAGGTCAAAGTGGAAGTGGGGATGGGCAATGGGCCAGAAATCCAGGGAGAGCCCAGGAGTGGACATAGTGGAAACTAAACGATATATTACATCGCGGAGGGCACATAAACTTACGACTTTAGATACAGATTACTAAAGGTTATCACAGATTATCACGGGAACGGGGTGGCTGAGGTGGAGCTCAGGAAATATCACTGGAAATGCGGTCAGGAAACTAAGAGGCTAACGTGTGTGTTAGACGGATTCTCCACGTGACCTGGAAGTCCCCCAAGATGGCTCTGTGCCTTGGAGGGAGAGAAAGGGACCAGGCGCCTCATGCATCGTCCTCGTCCTCGAGAGGGAGATCAGGAGGAGCAGAGGTTTTCTAAAGCGGGCGGTGGGGCCATGGCCAGGGAGCGGCAGGGGGCTCGTGCGCACACTGGCCCGCGCCCTCACCCGGCACTGCAGAGGGGTGGGAAGGTAAACCTCCTGTAGGCGGAAAGCGGGCCCCACCCGCAGCGGCAGGGTCAGCCTCACCTGTGCCTCAGTCACGCTTGGGCAGTGAGCGGAGGGCTCAGGGATGAGAATCGAGGTGGGTTTAAATTCGGGGTGTCTGTGACAGGAGGGGGCCCTGGGCCTGGGGCGCAGAGGAGCGCGTGTGGTGACCACCGAGAAGATGTTGTCTTTTCCCGCCGGCACCTCTTCTTCCCTCTGCTCATTTCACATTGCACATCTCGCCCTCTTTACCCGTATATAGTAAAAATGCGTGCTCTATCACATACGGTACGACGATTTCCAGCTGGAGTTTACTTTTAATTTTGTTTATTGGAAGTTCTGTTTAGTATAAAACTTTTAAATGTGTATAAGACAAACTCAGTTTTTAGTCTTCATAGTTTTTTTGCTTTTGCTATGTTATAATCCTTAAATATAAAGTGTCTTACTACTTTGTATCTATATATATTTTCCTGTCTCCCTTTCCAAGATTCTGGGGGTCAAATTTTATACTCTATTTTGTGACTGGCTGTGATTAGATCTGTATGTATGTGACACCCACGTACCTTATAGTCGATAAGAAAACTTTGGATTCTTGTTTTTGTTTTTTTTTTTTTTGGTACCGGGGATTGAACTCAGGTCCTTGTGCTTGCGAGGCAGGTGGCAGAACCACTGAGCTACATTCCCGGCCCTGGACTCTTGTTCTTTAAGAGAGAATATGCAAGGGCCGGGATGTAGCTCAGTGGTGCCGAGCTTGCCTGGAAAGCGCAAGGTTCTGAGTTCCATTCCCAGTACTGGAAAAAAAAGAGAGAGAGAGAATATGCAAAAAAAAAAAAAAAAAAGAGAGAGAGACAAGAAAAGAACATCATCTCTAAAAGTCTATCATATTCTATTGCTAAGAACTGGGTCACAGGTCTGCACCCAGCTGTGAGGGTGCCTGAGAAACACAGTTATTAGCTGAGTGCTCAGGTATGCAAGAAAAGAGAATATATTTGGAGAATTCAGTGATCAGCCTACTACATCTGAGAAAATGGTGTGAATTGGTCTACAGAAAGAAGCACAGAATTTATTAAGAATTTCTCCTGAATGGAATTATTTTAAGTTAAACGAGTTTTCTCACTGTGTTTAGCTTACTTTGAAAATTACTTTAAACACACACACACAAGAAAAAGGAAATGTTTGCATCTAGAAAGAGATTTAAGGTTCTGGATGCTTAGGGTTCCTTTGACGCCTCTATATTTCATTTCAGATTTACGATCAATGACCGAAACCTGGGCCGGATCGTCACAATAGCAGAGCCATTCAACACGGAGTTGCAGCTCTGGGAGGTAGGAAGAGGACAGTTCCTCTCTGTTTGTCTAGAAGGAAACACATCAAACTCATTTCTCAAACAGAAATGCTGTTTGCTCCTCTCAGATCACAGAAGACAATGAGAAACAAATCTTAAAAATAAATAAATAAATAAATAAAATACATACCTATTTCTTCTAAACTGAAAAAAATTCAAATGAGCAGGAAACAAAATTTTAAAACTGGGGAAGGAGACAGCTGGGGACGCTTGGAGACCGTTGGGTGCAGCAGAGCATGGACACTGTGCCTCCCCTTTCCTGGTAATGGCAACTCTAGAATGCCCTCTTCAAGATTTGATTCCATTCAAAACTCAGAGTTTTGGAATTTCCAGATGAATTCCAAATCGGAATTCCCAGGAAGGAAAAGTGTCCATTCATGTTGGACAAATAGAGAGTGCAGGAAACTGGTATTGACTAGATATTGAAATATTAGGATTCTTGGATCTGTTAAGAAACAAAATAATGGTTATTTCTGTAACTGGCAAACAGTACTGTGGTTGAGTTTGAGAAGAGTTTTGGAGGACAGAAAGGAGGAAAGGACCAAGTTGAGCAAAGATTTTTTATGCATCTTTTGTAATTGAACTGGAAGCACATTAAAATAGTCCAGACTCCTAGAGAGAAAAGGTAGGCAAAACCATCATCTGTGGGCCACATTTTCCAGAGAACGCACAGAAAACAGAGAAATGAGCAGGAGCAGAAGTGGGCACCACTCTTGTCTCCGATGTGCCCTAGCCAGGGCCTCTGTTAGCTTGGCCAGCTGTCCCAGCGCCACACAATCTTGAATCTGAGACGTGGGCTCCGTCCAGTGCTGCACCGAGAGGCATGGCTTGGTGTGTGGTGACCTGGGCTTCTGTGGGAAAAGGAAGCAAGTCCATCTTGTAAGCGAAATTCTTAAAGAAGAGTAATCGGCCTTAAAACAACATCCTTAATTCTTTCCTTCTCTTTTCTAGATGAAGAGTTTTTTTGAAAAATATCCAGATGCTGGAGCAGGAGAAAAACCTAGGGAACAAGTCCTGGAAACAGTGACAAACAATATTGAATGGCTAAAGCAAAATAGAGACGCCATACGAGAGTGGTTTTCTGATTTACCAAAGAAGGGTTAATGTGTTCAAATGTCATTTTAATTTTATGACTATCGTTTTTCCTATTAAGCAAAACATTTGGTACCTAATTTACCAGCAGTGCAGAGGGACCTGATAGGCATGCTTCTGATGCTGCTGCTTTTGCTAAGTGCTGCCTCGATATCTTGCAAAGCTTTTAAATTGTTCTTCTTTGTTTGTGAAGGAAGATACTAATAGAGTATTTAATATACTCAGGGATTTCTTCTAAATGTACTTCATAAGAGATTCTTTACAAACTGAAGAGAATTTAATAGTCATTTTAATGTCTTTAAATATCATTCTTTGTATCTTAAATCTGTGAAAATAGAACAATTTGGTCTTAGCTTTACATTTTCAGTACCAAAGAAACACCACTTAATCTTCTCTCTTGATTGATTTTTAAAGTTTAAATATCAGTACTTGAGGGACATATTACCATCTTAATCTTTATTTTATTATTCTGAATTACACAGACCTAATATCATTTTATTCACATATGTCTTACTACTTTAAATCCTACCAAAGTAACCTGGGCTTAAGTTTTGCTGGAGGACTGCATGAATTAGCCAAAGAAATGGCTGACTGTTGGTTTTTCTCTTATAAAATCAACAAGAGAACTCTTCGTTCTTTTTAAAAATAAATCTAAATTATTACCTTGAAAAATATTGTTTTTCGGTGTCACTTTCTCCTAAATAAACATGACAACGGCATTCCCTGAATAATTTAGCAAGTCACATCTACGATTCAAGAAGCGACCTTTTTCATGCTTGGGACTTTCTCATCTTACACCCATCCCTTACAAAGCCCCTCCAAATGTGCTGTGAAATTAGAGGGAACGTAGTGTTTAACTATGCTCCATGGATTTTTACCGGAAAGAAGCTAAATAATTGGAAACTGTTCAGGAAAGGGAGGTGGCAGACTATTCCATGAAGCTAAATGGAATTAGCTTTTCACTTTGACCTAACCTAGCAATCTAAGTGTGAAAATAGAGAAACTCATGGAAGTCTCTAGCATGGCTCTGCATATCTGAGGATGTATCTTCTTATAGCTAAGTGTTAAAATAAACCCTTAGATCCGCATCCGTACAGAATAGCACTGACCAAATTTAAATGCCTGAATTGGTTAAAGACACCCATTTCATAGAAACCGGTGGCCAGAATAGGCTTAAGGTGGCACTTGATGTCTCGCAATCCACAGTGTACGTCCAAAGGGGAGAAGAGATGGAAAACTCCTATGTCCCAATCTGCTGTAGCCAGGGAAATCTCAGTTTATAGGCAACCTTCAGAACTCTAGGGCAATTTAGGATTGGCTTGATGAGAAACACAACCAATGGGTCCAACTAAAACCTTAGCTTCCAGTTTGTCTATACAACCATGTGTCACAGTCATGTACTCCGAAACGTCATCAACTTTCCTATTGCTGTTTCTTATGACTTCTTAATACACACAGCTAAACTAGCAACTTCAAATGAAGACAAAAAGAGATTTTTTAAAATTCCAGGTAAATTTTTAAAAACATTTTCAAAAATTATTTCAAAAGCAAAAAAGGACATGGATTTCCTAAATCACCAGGAAGACGCCACTAGCTGGAGATTAACATCCTAGCTTCAAATTCTGAGCCTGCTGAGAAGAGCCCTGGAAGCCAACACACTGCTTCAAGCGGACAAATTGGGAAGAGGCGATTAAGGCCTCTGTTTATGAAATAAACTCTTCGAAGAAAACTAGAAGTTTGAGGGGTGATAAATAAAGCAGGTCACAACTTGTCTCCGGTCATTCTCTCTCCTTCCATTCTAACCCTTAAAACTGAGAAGCAATTGTGGGGTTCTCTTGCCCCTACATGAGAAGAAGAGCTAGGCTTCATCCTCTAAGGGTATAAGGTTCTTCATCAAGTCCCTTCTCAAGCAGAATCTGGGTTTGTAAAAGGCTTCGCGCACACTAGATAGAGCTGTGTTTTTGTCACAGTTTTCATAGGGGGAAAACTACCACTGAATGTTGCTTTTACGTCTGGCATTTTTTCAAGCCTAGTGAGTGTCATGAAATGTGAGTCAAGGTCTTGGGTGTAACTGCAGGCAGAGGTGGTCTCCAGGGCCACACCTGGTTTGCCCTGCTCTGTTTTTCTCCTGCTACCACATCCGGCAGTGTTTCAGTCGGAGGCTACTCTCTTAGCTTGAATTCCAGGATTAAAAAAAAACAAAACCTGGAGCAGAATGTAGCCAACCCACAGTACACACTGTGAGTGAGAAATACTCCTTTGTTGTTGTAGATCAGTGAGGTTTGTGAGGTTGTCTGTTATTTGAGCATAATCCAGCCTAACCCAATACAAACAACACGTGCATATGATGCTATCCCATCATCATTTGCTTCCCATTCTGTCTCCTCCTTCCTCTGTCTCAGGGGTCAGCAAACGTCTGCCAGCCTGTTTCTGTAAGGGCTGCAGACAAGTCAAAACCGTTTCTACATTTTTAAATGGTTGGAAGTTGAAGTCCAATTTTTCCAGCACCATTTATTAAAGAGGCTATCTTTCCTCCAGTGAGGGTGTTTGGCTCCTTTATTAAAGATGAGATGGCTGAGTGTGTCTGGTGTTGTTTCTGCATCTTCTAATCTGTTCCACTGGTCCTCAATTCTGTTTGTGTGCCAGTACCATGCTGTTTTTATCACAGTAGCTTTG